GGGCCCCGTCTGACCCGGGGCCGGGCCCGTGCGGCCTCGGGGGGCAGCCGTCGGAACCCGCCCGACCTCAGTGGCACGGGGACCTTGACATTTACGTCTCCTGATTTCTGTCCTGAAGTCTTCACTCCGTGTGGGACTTGGCTGCGTAACGAATCGCTCAGGTTTTGATGTTAAAAATACAAGCGTTAGCCTCCGTGACCCACTCACCCACCGCCCCACCCCCACACAAGGTCATTCCAGGTAAAACTAAGTTATAAATTACACACACTATCCAAGGGCACCGTCGTCTGGAGCGCACCCAGGCGTCACGCTTGATCCTATGTAACTTGGAGCAAAATCTACAGCACCATAGTGAGAATTAGGGCCTTTACTTGCTACGCTGCTTAGATCTTTTTTTTTTTTTTTTTTTTAATTGATTTGAGAGAGAGAGAGAAACATGGATGTGTTGCTCCACTTATTTATGCATCATGGGTTGCTGCTTGTATGTGTCCTGACCGGGGATCGAACCTGCAACCTTGGTGCATGGAGAGGACACTAACCAGCAGAGCTACCCAGCCAGGGCTGATAAGTCATATTTCTTTAGTAGTTTTTCTTTTCTTCTTATTCCATAATATCCTTTCCACGGACATGGAGACGAGCATGATTATTCATTCCCATGGCCAGGTGGCACAAGCCTTGGACACTGGAGATGAGCTCCGCTTAAGCAGGAATTGTGATTATAATTCCTCTTCTCCAAATAGGTCTCTTTTCTGACTTCAGGGAAGGAGGTGAGATACCCACAGGGCAGAAAGCTTTGTCTGAAAAACATGGTTTTTTGGTCAGGTTTAGTCTGGGAAGCAGAACCACTATAAATATTATGATTTAAGGGATTCATTAGAGGAATAATACTTTTTTTTTTTTTAATCCTCACGTGAGGATATTTTTTCATTGCTTTTTCAGAGAGAGTGGAAGGGGGAGAGAGAGAGAGAGAGAGAGAGACATCGATATCGATGTGAGAGAGACACATCGGGTGGTCACCTCCTGCACACACACCCCACCCCCGCATCAGGGCCGGGGATCAAGCCTGCAACCGAGGTATATGCCTTTGATCAGAATTGAACCTGGAACCCTTCAGTCCGCAGGCCGATGCTCTAACCACTGATCAAAACTGGCCAGGGCAGGAGTAAGATCTTAACGCAATTGTGGGAGAAGCTGGATAAGTCAGAGTAAAACTGAGAGGTGGAGCATCAGAAGTGTCACTAACTAGCTCTTCTGAAGTGCTGTGATGGGTAGACAGACCCATGCTTGCCCTGGAATCGGGGAGTGTCACATCTGGCTGACGGAGTGGACCACACCAAAGGAGAGTGGATGAAGCGTAAGGCTGTTGCCTCTACACTGGTCTCTGTTATTCCGATGAGCTAGACATAGAGCCTGGGAGTGGGAGGACGAGCTGGATTCTGCCAGGCCCTTAATGGTTCACGCCTAACCACAGTGGCCTTCAACAGAACAGCACCTGCTTCCCTTTCACCTTTCAGATCTTGGGCAAATTTCTCCTTTGGCCACCTCTAACCAGAACCATACAGGGAGGGGAGTTTGGGGAAACCTAGTTCAAGCTTAGTTAGCCAAGTTGGCAAAGTACTAAACGACTGTAGTCAATCCTTTGTCAACCCAGCATCTAGACACACCTTTTCATCATATTTAACTTCAAATAAAGATAAAAGCAAAATTATGCTTCTGTCTTCTACACAGCTATCCTGTTTTTATAGTATTTCCTTTCTGAGTTACTTTGGGTTTCATTTGTTTTTCCTCGTGTTTTAAAGTGGAGGCTTGCTTTGGGAAATCTACAAATATTTGGAAATCAAACAGTGCATTTCTAAATAACACATAGGTCAAAGGAGAATCACAAGGGAAATGACAAAATATTTGAACTGAGTATAAACAAAAATACAACATATAATCTGAGGCTTTTACTGCTATAAAATTCTATGTTCTACTTTAGGTGCCTCCCACAAATTTTAAATAAGAAAAAAAATATATTTACCAACATATACTATATCTAGAGTGCTTCATTTCTGTGTGTAAATCCAGATTTCATTTGGTATTTTCTTTTTTCCTGGAGGACTTTTTAAAAAACTTTTTTTTTTTTTTTTTTTGGTAATGTAGGTCTGCTCGTAATGAATTATTTTAGTTTTGGTGCCTTTGAAAAGGCCTTTTTTTCCCCCTCCATTTTTAAAACATATTTTTTATTGATTTTTAGAGAGCGAGAAACACTGATATGAGAGCAAAACATCAATCCGCTGCCTCCTCGCAGCCTGTCCTGGGCCTTGATCCCGAAACCCAGGCATGTGCCCAGACTTGGAATCGAACCCACGACGTTTCAGTACACAGGATGACACCCAGTCAACTGAGCCACACCAGCTAGGGCTTGCCTTCATTTTTGGAAAAAAATTTATCAGGGTATAGAATTTTAGATTGATAGTTTTTTCCTAGTACTTTCAAGAAGTCTGCTGTTATTTCAAGGGCTCCAGCTATTCTTGCCCCATATGAGTGTTGAGAGTTGTTCCATCTGCTCCTTGGATGGTAATTTCCTCACGTGCCTGTGCCTGTGCTGATTGGTCATCGCTGATCGTCTCTCTGCTGAGGACTTGAGCAGAGACCCTCATTCCCTCCTCCGCTGTGGCCTCTAGCTACCTTTGCACCCCACCCCCCCAAACTCGAGTTTCTGACCCTCCAGTCAAGGGGAGGCTTCCAGGGTCTGCCTACGTTTCCCCGTTGTCCTTGCTCTGTAAACGCCCCAGTCTGAGTTGGGCAGTCATAGGGCTCCCCTTTGTTTCTGCTCCCCGAGTAATCAGAGTCTATGGCTACTTGGATGCAGTCACATGTCCACTGTCTGAAAACCTTAGTTTCATATATTCTGCCTGGTGTTAGTGCAGGCAGGGAGGTAAGCTTGGTCCCTGTTACTCCAGCTTGGCCTAAACAGCCTATTTTTGAGGTTCATCCTTGTGTGTATTTATCAGCAGTTCATTCTTTTCCTGGGTAGTATTCTGGTATCTAGAGTTACTGGCAGTTTGTTTACTCACCTGTTGGTGGACATTTGTTGTTTTTTCCATTTGAGCCCGTCATGAATGAAGCGACTGTACCTGTGTTGTATAGATGTCTTCATTTGTCAGATTTTAGAAACAGTTTAACATTTTTAAAATGAAACTTGTCTTACTGTTACTGATATTATGCCTGTTTGACTACTTGGGACTTTTGTTGTCATTATCTTGTAAGAGTCTCACTGGGACAAGCAGTGACTTTATTGGGCCATAGTAACAGTGTCTGTTGTGAACGTGCTTCAGTTTTTCCAGTGCCATCGGTTTTATGCCTAGCTTCTGATCGTGTCTTCTGAGCGTTAGAAAGCAGGGAATTGTGGTTTGGGTTCTGAGTCTGTTAGTTTGAGGTTCGAAGATAAGACTGAGGCCAACTGCTGTTTTGCAAGCTCTGGCACATTTCGCTTCTCTGGTCACTTCTATCTTAAAATTGCTGAAAGTCCGACTTCTGTGAAAATATCCTACACATTGAACTTAAGGGATCTCTTATGAGACTGGAAGTATAACTGGTATATTTGATAACTATAATAGATAAATGAGCAGTACATGACTTTCAGATTATGGCCCATTAAATGACAGTTAAAGTTACTGTCACTTTTATTTTGCTGAATTTTCTGTCCTCGGTTGTATCTCCCTCGTCCTTTTTAACCTAGAATAGTCTCCCGTGCTTATTTTCATGATACTGAATTTTTGAAAATGAGAACAGTTGTGCTTTAGATTGTCCACATGCACGTATATTTTTAAAATAGCAAAAGTGAGCTTAATTTGCACAAATTTTTTGTTTTTTCACTTTAAAGCATCTTATGGATGTCTTTTCAGGTTCACGTTTTCAGTGGTACATTCAAGGTTCTGTATGATCTGGGATTAATATGCTTCTCAGATTTAAGTCAGAAAGAAGGCTGGCCTCCAAGTCCTAACTATGTGACTGACAAGCTGTAGGACTGGTGAAGTCACTGCCTTTCTCTCAGACTAAATTTCCTCAGCTGTGAAAGGAGGGGTGGGATTAAATGTCACTGAATAGCCGTGATTATCAAGGAATAAATATTATAGACAAGTAAGGACTAGAGAAGTCAGAAGCAGAGGTTCATCACTGTTGGCTGGTATGTATCATGACTATGATTGAATTGAAGCTAGTGGTTGTGAAGTCCAAATGAAATAACTTATATAGAGGTTCTGAAAATAATAAGCTATATAAACAAAACCTATTTTAACAAACAAAATGGAGCAGGGGACTGGGGTGAGAGGAAGAGGGCTGTTCTAGGATGCTGATGGTGTAATAATTACAGAATTTCAAAGACTCAGAACTTCAGCTGCCCTAATAGTGCTACTTGGAACTTTCAAGTTGCTCCTACTCTCAGTTCTTTCCTGGGGGGGAATACTCACAGCTCTAATCTCTTCTCCTTTGTTCTTACAGCTGTATTATCAAGTCCTAAATTTTGGAATGATTGTCTCCTCAGCACTAATGATCTGGAAGGGGTTAATGGTCATAACTGGAAGTGAAAGTCCAATTGTAGTGGTGCTCAGGTAATACTTTTTCTTTTCAAGGCATGGGATTGCATGGCATTGCCTGGGAGGAAAATTGAGATGTTGAGTAATTGAATAATTCCTCTAGAAACGACTCCTTCCCAGGAGAGGGCCTGGAATACGGTTATTATTTATTTCTCAGTCCTGAGAAATTCTAAACATGTTAGACACTTTACATTCAGGCCCAAAGACAAGACGTTTACTGTCTGAGCTTTAGTTTCCACACATCTCTTAAGTAAGTGTTCCAGTACTGTATCTTCCTGAAGTTCTGTCTTGCACGTCACTGTGATACATCAGGCTGGTATTTAGTTGTTAGTTTGTTGATTACAAATCAACTCCAGAGTAAGAGTTTCTCTGCAGCATGTTCTCAGTGTCAGTACAGAAGCATCACTATTTATTTCCATGTTTCCTGCTGACCTGTAACTATCACTTATGTATAGGCTTCAGGAATCTTGAATGTGTGGATGCCATCTCTTAAAGTGACAAACAGTACTGAATTTTTTTCTCCATTGTACTTCCTTTCCCCTCCTTATGTTCCTACTAATAGTGCTTTAAAAACCTAACTTACTCGCCCAGCCGGTGTGGCTCAGCAGTTGAGCATCGACCTAGGATCCAGGAGATCGGGGTTCGATTCCCAGCCAGGGCACATGCCCGGGCTGCAGGCTCCTCGATCCCCAACAGAGGGCGTGCAGGAGGCAGCCCATCAGTGACTCTCTCATCATTGATGTTTCTCTTTCTGTCCCCTCCCTTCCTCTCTCTGAAATCAATAAAGATATATTTAAAAAGGAAAAAAACACACCTAACTTACTCATTTTTGGAGAGTTACCACTTGGTTACTTAATTGAACCATTATAGTTCTGTGTTATTTGGGGCTTAATTCTGTAAGCTCTCCCAAGTCTTCTCTGGAGATAATGGAGTATAAACATAAGCTGAATTACTAACATTATCTAGAGTCCAGTTAGCAGTTCACTGCTCTCAGCAAGATGAATTTGACTCCTCATTGTCACATAGGATATTCTTCCAGTAATAGGCGGTGGAAGCACTGGGTCTCCGGTGTCTTAGTCATCCCTTAGTTCTGTTTTTATTAATAATCAGATGCAACTGTAACTTTACAGACCCGCAGAGATGCGTGGATTTTACTAGCTGGGGGAGCGTTCAGTGTGCTGCTCTGAGAGTGTAGAGACTTGGCACTTCATCTCTCTCACTCTCCAACTACAACCTCGGGCAAGTCACTCACTCACTGAACCGTCGTTTCATCTAGAAAACGAGTCCTAAGCCTAGACGATATCAGAAGACCTTTCCAGTTCTAACATTGTGTGGCCACAAGTTCCCAGTCAGTCTTGGCTTCAGTGGAGAGCTTCTGTGAGTGAGGTACTCAAACACTGACAGGGGAAGCCACCCCGGTTGGCTCTGGGCAGGTGTAGAGAGAGGGCCCGGGGAGGCTTCCTGCGGGGAGGCTTCTGGGATTATCTCAGGCTGCGTTTCCTCAGTGGAGATGTTTAAGGACAGCCTAACGACCTTTGAACCCAAGATGTTGGAGTGAGGAGGAGGTTAAACTAAGGACTTGCCCATTGATGGTTCTGAAAACGGTCCACTTTTGCTGTAGCTGGAAAATGTGTGATCAGTTGGGACTTACAGGTGGTTGGGTAAGTTATTTGGTAGCTAGGTTGTTTCTCTACTAAGCTTTTCTGATTGCCAGTGTGGACTGAAGACAAGCAGTAAGAGACCAGGTCATCTTAGAGGAGAATCTGGTCAGGACCGGAAGGAGCAGTTGTTAGAGACAGGCAGTTTAGTGATTGGGTGGCCTGCCCAGTTTTCAGGTTACTCCAAGGAATATAATTTTTACCTGAACCAAACATGCCTCAGAGGACTCAGGCCAACTGACAGCCCACTTCTAGGACTTTTGTTACGCCATTAGGGATAAAGACAAATACTTCCTTATTTATTTGATTAACTGGAGTTTCAGGGAACATTCAGAACCTTTCCCTTTACGGAGCTGGAGTCAATTTTAAAACATTCAAATGATTTAGATATAATGTCTTACAAAATTTATCGTGACTGATGTTTAAATTTAAAAGTACAGTTTAATCAAATAATATTAGAAAGGTTACTAATAATTTATTTCATGTTTAAAAAGCTTCCCCTGACCCTGGCCGGGTAGCTCTGCTGGTTAGAGCATCGTCCTGATACGGCAAGGCTGTGAGTTCAGTCCTTGGTCAGGGCACATACAAGAATCAGCCAATGAAGCGTAAATAGGTGGAGCAACAAACCCATCTTCCTTCCTTCCTTCCTCCCCCACCCCATCTCTAAAATCAATAAAAAGAATAAATTTTTTAAAAAGTAATAAAGTAAAAAGTTCCCCTGCTTTATTTCTTTGATGGTCCTGTCACTGTGCACTTATGTGTGTCTAGTTGCCATCTGTATTTCTTTACTTTTGTTTTCACCCCACACTGGGCCCCTGCACCTGCACCTTAACCAGGCACTTGAAACTCCATGTTTTTCCCCATTTTTCTGTGACTCTCACTGCCATCTGCTCGGTTTCCAGTGTTAAAAGCCCAGGGGTCATTCTGTGGTATCCGTTTGGCCAGCAGGTTGGTTTTTTTCCCAATCCCTGTTCTGCCCTTTTAGAGCCGTCCCCTGCTGCTGTTCTCTTCCAGGCCCCCATCCTTTCCTGCCTGGGGTGTTGTAGTGACCTTTAAAAAATGCTGCTTTAATCAGGAAAAAAGTTAGTATATTTTCATTATATGAAATGTTGAAAACATACACAAAATCTAAATGAAACTAAGTCACCCATAGTTCTGAGATATAATTGTTGTTAACACCTTGGTCTCTTTTTCGTGTGTATTATTTCTTACATAATTGAGGTAATTCTGTATTATCCCCTTTTCTCTGTATTTTCCCCCTTATTCTCCTGGGTCCATTTTTTAATAACACTCTTAGTATTTGCCAAATGTTCAATTATAAGTAATAGGCTGGCAGCTGGTCTCCCAGTCTCCCTTCTCATCTACCCCACTTACTAGTTCGGTACATGTCTGAATGTCTTCTGTATACTCTAGCTTCTGATGTGATGGTTCTAAAATGCAAATACTATTATGATGCTTCCTGCTTAAAATTCTAGAGTGGCTCGGAGGCAGTTTGGCTCAGCGAGAACGGATTCCGTTGGCCTCCCTTGGTTCAGATCTCACCTTTATCGCCTTCTTGATGTGTAACTTTAGGCCTCTCTAAGCCTCAGTCAGTCTCCTAGGGAGAGGGACACGTCTTAGGACCTTTGAGGAACTTGGTACAGTGTGGAACAGAGAGAGGTGAGAGGTTCGTCCTCAGTAATTGCCATGGAATTGAATTCTTTGCTCATCTCTGAAATTCTCAGGCAGAAATCCCTTCTACTGTCCTTGGTTTTCTTGTTTCTTTTTTTAAAATAAATAAATTGATAGCACAGGCATTATCTCTGTAGCTGTTTGTTCTTTGACTTGATGAGCTGTTCCTCTTAATCACTTGAAATCATAAGGTCATCTTGGTCTGCAGCTTTCTAAATGGCAGGAGAGGACAACCCAGTGCTCATTTGAATACTTGAATATGTTTAGTGTTTTCAGATGAAGTGGGAATAAGGGTAGTGATTATAAAGTTCACTCTTTAATATTCTGTCTGTCACTTGAAATTTTAAAAGGTTAAAGAATTAGTAGCATTGCCCTTTTCAAAGATTTATCTCCTTTGAATAGTAATGCTTGAAATGGGACTAGTGAGTGAATGCTAATAGCTAAAGAAGCTTTAGGGTAACTCATTTGAGGAAACCATGTTTTCAGAACTGTGTACGTTTATGTCAGTATGTTTGTTAAGGTATTGAGTATACATCAAGGGTGATGCTTCAGATTGTTTTATTGAATGTCTAATTTTGAAAGTAAATTTAATCTCAGACTCTTTGCTGTTGTGTCTTCTTTCCCTCCCAGTGGCAGCATGGAGCCTGCATTTCATAGAGGAGATCTTCTCTTCCTAACTAATCGAGTTGAAGATCCCATACGAGTGGGAGAAATTGTTGTTTTTAGAATAGAAGGAAGAGAGATTCCTATAGTTCATCGAGTCTTGAAGATTCATGAAAAGTATGTGCAAATGATATCTTTTTTTGTTTTAAAATATTTTTATGTTTCGGTGTTCACGGTGTTTAATTTTGATAACCTAAAGGTTAAGGAGGGTGGGAAACTCCTAGGCCTTTCTTCCAGTACATTTTTACGAATGTCTGCAGGCTTGGGGAACATTTGAAAACAAAATCATTATTTATTAATTCATTTATTTCCCTGAAGGTTTTTCTTGGTTCCCAACCAGATCAGTAACCCGGCCTATTTCAAAGCGGTCAGCAACTTAATGGGCCTGTGTATCTACATAAGAACATTCCTTTCAGATGACACAGGCCTGGCGGTCACTGTCACTCAGAGCAACTTGCTTAAAATGGCATCGGGCACGTCACGCACCAGAAATCATTTTGCCTTACCCTCCACCCCTCATGATCAGCTCTTAAAATCTCACATGCCCATCCCCCTTTCTTTGGGAATGGTCCCAGAGCCTCTGAGGGGATGGAGGAACACAGTTGGCACTTTTCTTGGCATCAGTTGTCTGCATTGTAGTGAAAGGCCACAAGAACAGTATACTATTACTGTGTGCGTGCGTGTGCGGGTTACACATGCTGCTGTGTACATTGGAAAATACAGAAAACAATCCCATGTAATCCCAGCACCCAGAGATGATGTTAAATTTGGGATAATTCTCTCTTTGTTTTACAAACAGACTGCATAGTTTATCTTTTGCTGTCTATAAAGAGGTCATCTCCTCCTTCCTACCATCACAGTATTGTGATGGTTGAATTAAATTGTAAGCATGTTGAGCTCCTTAGAGGGTGTCCCCTCCTTAGAGGGGGCCTATGAGTTGAGCTGGTGCCACCAGAGGATATTTGTCACACTGTCAACTGGATGAAGGAGACCTGTGCTTTTTCAAACAGCTACAGCGACTGGAGTCTCCTGACTGTATTCTTGGGGGTATGTTTGGTTGGTTGGCAGATCCAGCCTTTGGAAAGAGCAGAGACCCCCGGAGCGTCCCTTTCCTTCTTGGAGTCTTCCTCTCCTGCTCCTTGGTTTTCCTTTCCTCCTCCGCCTGTGTGGTCGCAGTTACCTTCATGGCTGGACTGGCTCGCCTCCCGCTGCTCCTGGCTTTCAGGCTTGCACTAGCCCCTCTCAGTACCTGTCCCCTTTCCCCCACCAGCATTTTTCAGATGTTCGTTCACTTACTGAGTTGTCAGCTGCAGGTTCTTTTTCTCTGTATATATTTGCATTTTTTCCTGTTGGAATCTCACTTTTAATGTGGCTGCTTGCACCTAGCTGTTTTTGGTGTTTGCAACACCTCCCAATTTAGTTTCATCTGCAGATTTAGTGTCTAGTGGGCCAGTTTCTGGTTTAGCATCTCAGTGAAGATGAGTCAGTAGGAGTCGAAGCTCATTTTCTTCTGGTTAGTGGTTAACCCAGACTCACTTGAACTGATGTTAAGATGGTTTTAATCAACTGTAAAATGTCCTTTGCCTTCAATTAAATTTTAAAATTACTAGAAACCTCATGTTCTTTAGAAGAATTAAACTAGGCAGTTTCTGATTAAATAAGGTGCTGTTATTTTTCCTCTTAGTTTTTAAATATGGAAAATTTCTAACACACATAAAAGTAGAACAGTACAGTGAACTCCCATGTACCTTCACCCAGTCCCAATAATTACTAATCTCTGGCCAATTCTGTCCCACCTACACTACCACCTTTCCCCCTTTCCTGCCTGTATTGTTTTGAATCAAATTGTAGATACTGCATCATGTCATATGTAAATATTTTAGTAAATGTCTATGACACATAACCAAGGAGCTTTTTTTAACAGTGTGAACCCAGATTCTGATAAGGTTCTCAGTTGCAGTTGGTTGATATGACTATAGTCTCTCTTATTTAATACGTAAATTCGTTTCGCAACTCTTTTGTTCTTTGTAGTTTACTGGTTGAAGAAACTGAGTCAATGTGTAGTTTTACATATCCTGTGTGTGGTTTAATGTGTTCCTTTGCTCCTTGTATTTCGAATAAATGGGCGGTTTGTGTTTGTTTTCATATAAAACTTAGATTAAATTGTACATGCTATTTTGTAATCTTTTCTTAATGCAGTTTATGTGATCTTCCAGTGTCATTACATAGTTCAGTGTCATTAGTCTTTTGTAACAGTGTCCCTCACGCTTGCTTAGTATTTCAGCTCCTGAATGTAGACTTTTAGCTTGTTTCCCGTCTTTCCCTAGTATAAGCTACACAGCTATAAACATCCTTTTAGCTAAATAAGTAATGCTTTTTCATCTTGGGGATGGTGATAAAATATCACAGTTCCATGGGAATTTGGGGTTAACAAGAACAAATTCTATACTTTGAAATGACATCGAGGTATTTGATGACCTGGGTTCCTCTTACTCTTTCCAGGCAAAATGGACATATCAAGTTTTTGACCAAAGGAGACAATAATGCAGTTGATGACCGAGGCCTCTATAAACAAGGACAGCACTGGCTAGAGAAAAAAGATGTCGTGGGGCGAGCAAGGGGGTGAGTATAGAAGAGCGTGTGCTGGGTTTTTCATGTCTCTTGAAACGTGGCCTCTCGGTCATGTTGTCTGGTCACACACAGCTGAAGACAGTGGTTGGGCCCTGGCTCCACCAGATCACCTTGTATCCTTTGAAAGGTATGCTTCTTAAAGTACATCTAAAACTTGGGGTATACTGCTCAGAGGGGAGGAAATGGGGCCCAGTAAAGGAATAGAGTGTTAGTGATGAGCTGCAGTGACTTAAAAATTCATTTGTTTCTTTAATTCCGTTAAGAAATGTTAGGCACCACCATCCATGTACTCAGATGTCTGTACTCTGCTGGGCTCTGGGAATCCAGAGCAGTTTTAATCCTCCTTCGTGAAACTTACATTTCTTAAGGATTGACTGAGTTGGCAACTTAAAGTGTTCATCTGCATTAACTTGATCATATTAATTTATTCCACACTGTTTTATTTCTAGTCTTGAAATTATTGAGGTCAAATGAAATTTAAAAGTTATATAAAGCCTGTTTATTTCAGATTTTATCAGGAGAACAGATGAGTGGAGGACAGGAATTGGAAGTGACTGGTATGAGGAAGTACGGATTGTAACTCCCTTCATGCTCTTACTAGTATTAACAATAACTGACGTTTCTTAGGGCTTACTATGTGCCAGCGATTCATCCTAAGTGCTTTGCAAATATTACCTCTTTTAACCTCAGAACAACCCTAATATTTCCATTCTATAGATGAGGAAACACAGCCGAGTTAGGACACTGAGGGTAAGTGGCTGGCTGACCCGGAGCCCACTTTCTTAGCCCTCACGCCAGAATCACAGGCACAGCAGTTGTGAAACCAGCAGCTGCTGGGTCCCGCTGTTCAGATACCGCCTGGCAGGCATTCTTCCTGCTGGGAGAGCACCTGCTCCCGACCTAGAACAGACAATGTGGGTTCAGAGGGATTTCTCTAGGGCAGCACTTTTCAGCCCTTTCATCCCAGCACACGTGAGCTAATTACTAAAATTCTGCGGCACACCCAAAGATACATTTTTTGCCGATCTGACCAAAAAAGTAGGTATGATTTTGACTCGTTCACACCGGACGGCTGTTGCTGTGTTACTGTTGTCATTGTTTTATTTGACAATCTAAGGGGAAAGAGGTCAGCGTCCCTGGCTAAATGGTCAGATATTGCACATTTTAAAAATTGTTGTGGCTCACACACGGGTTGAAAATGGCTGCTCTAGCAAACATCGGTTCCCACAGAGAAGTAAGTGCGAGTTACTAAGTGGAAGCTGCCACTGTGACAGCAGGAGAGATGCTCAGTGTGGGGCCAGAGAGATCTGATCAGAATAAGTGCCCGTGTGCTTTGTCTGTGGCAGTGCTGGGGGTTTGCTGTGCGTGCCGCCCGTTAAGGAGAGCTGCGTGTCCTAAGACAGAGCCAGACTTTATACCGTCAGCATCCAAATGGGATCCCCAGCGATTCTGAGAAATCATTGCCCCTCTCTCGGTTCCCATGATGCTGCTATTAATGGGTATTCAGACTCATCACCCTTTTTGAGTCTTTTTGTTTTTACTTTCATTTGAAATGTACAGATTCCTGTAGAAACACAAGGAAATAACAGTCATCAAAAAGCAAAGTCACTTCTCTTCTTCGGCTCCCCCTCCAGAAATAGTTAACTTCTTGGTGTATGGTTTTTTAGCCTCAATGTATAAAGGGGGGGGGGGGGCACATTCAGAAA